ATGTGTGTGATACGTGGCAAACAGGTCTGTAGTCGAAAATGTGTGGGAAGACCGATAACAACACAAACGATTCCTGCTAACAACCCTGTGTGTTTTGAGCAAACTATTGCTGGTATACAATTGTCAGTGATTGATGAAATTATCACCGACGGGTTCCATTGTTTAGTCCATGCGCGATGTGATTTGTTCTGTCTACAGAGCGTCAAAAAATATACTTAAAAAGACAGCATTGCAAAACCAAATTAAGCATACAATTACACAAGTGACTACACACATAACATTTCCACATACCAAAGTAAGCAATTACATGCATATTAAACTAGGAGAAATGAGGATCTAATCATCTACTTATTGTTGCGACAACACTTGTCATTGCTCTGCTTCCGGCTGGATCCCTGGTCGTTTTGAGGAAGGAGGCACTTCCTCATGTCAACGATCCGCCTGTACATGTCGTAGCTCGTGTATGCCTCCTTGGCCGCGTACACGACATGAGCTTTGTTGAGTTTCTCCATCAAGGCCGAGTGCCAGGCACGCTTGTCCTTGTTGCAGGAATCCTTCATGTCTCTGTAGTAGGGGTCGATGATGGCCTCGGTGAGGTGAACCAGTGAGTCCTTCTCATGCTCCTTGCTGCCCAGATCTTGTATTGGCCCTGGATGTCAACAAGATTCTGGCAGGTGATGACCGAATTCTTGAGCACCTTTACATCGTTGGTGATGTCCACCGTAGCGAACATGTAGTGGGGGCTGTTGACAAACCTGGCAAAATGCTCGCAAGGCTTTGTGGCCAGGTAGTATTGGTAGACGAGGACGTGGTTGCGCACGCACATCTGGTGATGGCGACCTTGGGACGAGACCCGACATGAGCGCAGGTGTACTCGAGGTCGAACCTGACCACCTTGTACTTCTCCTCGGCAAGTAACAACTCCATGATGTGGATGGAGTGCTCCACCCAGACCGGTTTGTTGGTGTACACTACCGAGAGCTCGTGAACCTTCTGTGGGTGTCCACCACGGCATGCACGGTGAACTACTGCTCGTCGTCGGCAGCCGCTCGGAGCGCCATTGGAGCCGCTGTAATAAATCGTGGGGCATGATCAAAAGGTTGAAGAGACACAAGGGTTAAATGGCCGCTGTAATAAATGGGGGCCGACCGGCCTGTAATCATCACGTATTGTCAGGACGTTCATAGCGGAGGATTCCAGTGCACGCTTGACAACACCGCACCGCACGTGTTTTGTTTGACCACACGTGGGCTCGAAGAGGGACAAATCGTGAGCTTTTATTGGCAAAAATAAGATAGTTAGTTTACTTTAATGACATTTGCATTTCTTTAATAGCATCGATTATTTCTTTTCTATTGTTTTTAGGGCTTGATCACTAGCATGAGGAACTATTTACCCAAGGCAGAGCATAGGATGTGTGCTAGACACGTTTATGCCAACTGGAGGAACAAGCACAAGGACCATGAATTCCAGAAAAGATTTTGGGCAATTGCTAAGTCTGCAAACAGAGAGGTTTTTAATTACAACAAGGCCAGGCTTGCATAACTTACTCCGAAAGGTGGTAAAGACATCATGAGGACAAAACCAAAGCATTGGGCTAGGGCAGTTTTTCTAGCTGGAGCAAACTGTGAATCAGTTGATAATAATCTGTGTGAGTCATTCAACAATTCCATTATAGAAGCAAGGTTCTATCCCATTATCTCACAACAAGAAATGATAAGAAAGAAGGTGTTTGTCAGAGTGCAAGAGCAAAGATCCAAAAGTGCAAAGTGGAAGCGTAAAATTTTCCCCAACATTTTGAGGAAATTGGATGTTAGTATTAAGATGACATAGTATATTGAGGTGCTATAAAATTGCAAAGATGGCTTTGAGGTAATGAGGTGAGACACGTGAAAGGGAGAAAAAACAATACACAATGAATCTTGAAAGGAGGAACTACACTTGTGGTTATTTTCAGCTGGTAGGTCTGCCTTGTTGTCATGCCATTGCAGCTATCTACAAGAGTAGAAGAAATATAGAGGACTATATTGACAAGTGCTACTACATAGAAACATTCAAGAAAATATATGAGCATTGTCTACATCCTTTTCAAGGAGTGGAAAGTTGGCCTGTTTTTGATAAGCCTAGGCCTATGGCACCTGGCTACATTGCCATTCCAGGAACTAGGAAAAAAGAACAATGATAGGAGGAAAGAAGAGGGTGAAGCACCTAAGGTTAAGAAGTTGAGCAAACATGGCTGTCAGATAACTTGTGGAAGCTGTGGGGGTCAGGGACACAACAAAAGTTCTTGTAAAAAGAATGGAGATACAACCAAAAAAACAAGATCACATCTTGGCAAGAGAGGGATAAACCAGAGAGAAACAGAGGTACTAGCATTCCCGTTGCTCTGTTTTTCTCTACTTTTCAACTATGTAAAATCCGACTTGTATTTCCTCTAATTTCCAACTATGCATTTCTTCATTCCTCTGCTTTGTTTGCAGCAAGCAGAGACTAATGCATCAAAAAGAACAGGAAAAGCAGCAAGAGCTTCAGCTGCAGAAAGCTCACAAGCTCAAGTAGGAGCACCAGCAAGAGGCCCAACAAGCTCACAAGCTCCAAAAAGAGGTCCGGCAAGCTCACAAGATGCAAGTAGCTCTCAAATTGCAGCATCAAGATTCAAAGCTCCTAGAGTGACAACAAGCACAAATCTTGAGGGAAGCACATCTGCAGGGAGAGGAACAAGGAGAGGAGCAGGGACATGAGCAGGAAGAGGACCAGCAACATCAGGGTGGATGGGATACTTTTTTGCACGTGGCAATTGCTAAAGATGTTTTCCAACTAATGGTTAAGATCTTTAGTAATTGTGTTAATGACAGCTAGTGTTATTATGACTATTGTGTGAACTTGTGTTAATATTTTGCCTTTGCTATCACTTGAGAACTACGTGGAGCTAGCATTATGAACTTGTGTTAATGGTTAGCTATGGCTGTCACTATTGAACTATGTGCTACTGGCATTATGAGCTTGTTGTCAAGCACAAAGCAATATATATGTGTTGCCAATTTGACATGATGCCAAGATATGCTGCCAATTTCATTTGCATTCACATTTACTTTCAAAATTTTAATTTCATACAACAATATATGTTGTGAAAAGCAAGCCCTATTGCAATGTCAATTCCATTTGCATTTGCACTTAGATTTTCTATCATATTTTTAATTTCAACTAGCAGTGCATGCTGCCAATAATTGTTGTGAAAATCACTTTTTGTACTGCCAAAAGCCCCATTGCAATGTCAATTCCATTTGCATTTGCACTTACATTAAGAATTTAAATTTCACACAATATATGTTGCCAACATGATCACTCTGATTTTCCATTTCCTTACTCAACATTTAACAGATCCATTACATTGCAACACCACTCATTCAATACATCACTAGCAAGCTCTCATCTTTCCTATCACAAGAACTACTGACATATCAGGAACCCTGCAACTAAACCAGCAACAAAGAATATCATCCCATAAAACAGGGACTTGTACATATGCATCTCATCTTTCCTAGCACATCTAGCTCTAATTTCTGTAATCAAATCATTTTTCTTCTTCAATTCCTCTCTCAGAACAAAACCTCTCCTTCCCTTGACTGACCAGCAAGCTCATCCTCCAACGTCCACACTTTATCCCGTAGATCACCTAGCAATTCACGCACAAATGTTGTCGTTGGAGCGTCATGCCAGTCGATGAAGCCATGTTGTTCGGTTCATGACAGAAAATTCAGAGATTCGGACGAAGAAAACAGAGAAGAAAGAAAACATGTGAGGAATCAAGCATACCCAAGAATCTACGCGGGAATAGTATCTCCTGCCAGGGTTCGCCGGACTCCAGGATATCCACCGCGGCGCCTTCCTGCCGCACTGGCCGCAATTCCTTGCCGGCTCGTACTCCATCAGTTGCTCCCGATAGGGCACCGGAGACCTTGCAGCCCCGCCTCTCCTTCGAAGCCCTTCACCCTGAGAAGCCGATGAAGCACCCTAGCTCCGTTCCCAACCGTGCTTTCTAACAAAAAAAGTGAGACAAGGAGAGAGGGCCCACAGTGGTGTACTTAAGTAGCAAACCCGGCCTCAAGCGGTGCTACATCAGCAAATCCTCTCATCAGACAGCGATATAAGGGCATAAAGAACCGGGATTAGAGAGTTGGGGGTACCGATTTCCGGGATTTGGAGGTTGGTGTTCAAAACCGTGTCGTACGAGTTCAGGATTTAAAACGGACTTCACTTGTCTACAACGAGCGCATTACTAGTGTACTTGACCCAAGAAAAGCAGGGTTCCGAAAGCATGCATGATAATCACGACGGCTTGGACTAGTAAGCCGTTACACATGTGGCCCAGTAAAGACATACTATTAGATAGATCTGGGATACGATTCGATGGAGGCTGGACATGCATACTGCAACAAAGCTGTCCAGCTCAAGCAGGAGCGATAGACAGCAGCGGCAGGAGAAAAGTAGCTGGAGACCTGGAGTGGAAGGCTCCGTTCACCCGGTAGCTAGCTCAGGTCAAGCTAAGATGATAAGGCGTGAGCGCTGCTGACAGTACGGTGTGTGGCGCAAACCTGCGGTAAAAACTGCATTTAAACCGCTGGGGAAATACAGTGCTAGCCGAGCATTTGAAACGTATGCATACAAACCACCTACCGGCAAAGCCAAGCTGCCGTTTTGCGCGCTCCTGTCGACGGGCAGAGGTACGCTACTCTCTCTGTTCTTGATCACTTCTTGCGTGTGAAAATTTACACACCCTGTAGAGGTATTAGTAACTGAGCACACCCTAGTAACTGAGCACAAGTTAGGATGTCTGGATCATATTGAAATTCCATAGCCTTACTTCTATGTTTTGGCGTGGTTTGCCATGTAGATCCGCCGGTGAACATGATAGATAAGCTGCCATGTCTGTGCTCTGTATTTTTGGTTTTTGCAGGTAACACGTAGTACGTACAGCGGTACAGGTACAGGGCTCCTTCATGTCTGTGACGAGACTCAGCATGGTTAATCTGCTGGCGTTTTTTCTGCTGCTGTTCTATGGAGCTGGCAACATCAATTGCTCAACAGTCAATCACGAGAACAGTAGAGACATGCGCTCGTTGCTGGATTTCAAAGCGGCTACCAACGACCCAACAGATGCCTTGAGATCCTGGGACAGAAGCGTCCACTACTGCAACTGGACGGGTGTCATTTGCAGCTCATTGTGTCCAGGGCGTGTCGCCGCTCTGCAACTCGCCGGCCAAAGCTTGGCTGGCGAGATCACCCCCTCTCTTGGGAACTTAACGTTCCTTAAGGTCCTCAACTTGTCCTCCAATGGCTTCTCAGGCCAGTTAACTCCCCTAAACCTAAACCAACTCCATGAGCTGGTCCTCCTTGACCTCAGCTCCAATTCATTCCAGGGGACGATTCCTGACTCACTCATGAATTGTTCAAAACTACAGTATCTAGTTCTTTCTGGAAACATGCTAGAAGGTCCAATCCCCAAGAAAATTGGTTCTCTTTATAATCTATTAGGCTTAGGCCTTTCTAGGAATAATCTTATTGGGGTCATCCCACTAACCATCAGCAACTCCACCCAGTTAGAACAACTTAGCCTTGAAGAAAATCAACTAGGGGGGAGCATTCCTGATGTGTTTGGGCAATGGTCCAAGATGTTGGAATTGTCCGTAGGTGAAAATAGGCTCTCAGGTCGAATACCACCTTCAATCTTTAATCTGACTTCGCTTCAAATATTAGATTTGTATGCAAATAAGCTACAAGGGGAATTGCTGCTTGACATTGGCGATACCCTCCCTGAAATCATAATTTTTACGCTGGGCCAGAACATTCTTGAAGGTCACATCCCAGCTTCCCTAGGAAACGCTTCACGGCTGCAAGTGATAGATTTGTCTTCTAACAGTTTCGTTGGAGAAATTCCTACTTTCGGAAAGCTACTAAACCTTATGAACATGAACCTTGGATATAATATGCTTGAATCAAGTGAAAGCCAAAGATGGGAATCCTTGTATGGACTAACAAACTGTAGTAATCTATATGCGCTAACATTAGATAGTAATCAGCTGCAAGGAGCCATACCAGATTTGGTCGGTAGGTTATCCACTAAACTCAGACGTCTACACATGGGTGGAAACAATCTGTCGGGAATAGTTCCTTTAAGCCTAGCAAACCTTAGTAGCATAATCGATTTGGATCTTAGCAACAACAATTTAACTGGTACAGTCGAAGGATGGTTAGGGAGTCTCAAAAACTTACAATCTTTAGATCTTCATGGAAATAATTTCATTGGATCCATTCCACCATCTTTTGGCAACCTTTCAGAACTGACAATACTTTCTTTAGCACAAAATGAATTTAAAGGTCACATACCTCCCACATTAGGAAAACTTTCACAACTCTCAAGGCTGGACCTTAGCTATAATAATCTGCAAGGTGACATACCTCCAGAAATTAGTGAGCTTAAACAACTCATTGCACTATACCTCTCTTCTAGCAGACTCTCGGGAAAAATTCCTGATGATCTGGGCAAGTGTCAGGGCCTCGTAACCATCCAAATGGACCACAATAATCTCACGGGCGTCATTCCAACCTCTTTAGGCAACCTTTTGAGCTTGGACATGCTCAACCTGTCCTATAATGATTTATCAGGTGCCATCCCAACAGTTCTAAGTGACCTTCAACTTCTTAGCAAGTTAGACCTATCATATAATCGTCTCCAAGGAGCACTCCCAAGAAATGGAGTGTTTGAGCACCCTGCAAACGTTTCACTTGATGGCAACCAGGGACTTTGTGGACGGGCAACCGGTTTCCATGTGCCCTCATGCCCAGATGCCTCGCCGAGAACAGGAAGACACTATCGTTTGCTTACGGTGTTGATCCCAATAATTGGCTTCCTGTCGCTGGCACTGTTGACTTGCTTTATAATCCATGAGAAGATACCACAAGCAACGTTTTCATTGTTGCCTTCTCTTAGGGAGAAATTCCCTAGAGTTTCTTACTGGGATCTAGCTCGAGCGACAGGCAACTTCTCTGAGATTAACTTGATTGGCGAAGGAAGTTACAGTTCAGTGTACAAAGGAAAGTTGAGACAAGTTAAAACGGAAATAGCAGTCAAGATACTTGACCTTGACATTCCAGGTGCCGAAGGAAGTTTTGCATTAGAATGCAAAGCGTTGAGAGGCATTCGTCACAGAAACATTGTTCCTCTCATAACTGAATGCTCTGCAATCGACAACAAAGGCAATGCTTTCAGAGCTCTAATCTATGCTTTCATGCCCAATGGCAACTTGGATACTTGGTTGCATCATCAAGGGAATCAGGCAGCTGCAAGGCATTTAAGCTTAGCTCAAAGAATAAACATCGCTATTAACATAGCTGATGCATTGGACTATCTGCACCATGATACTTGGAGGCCCATCATCCATTGTGATTTGAAGCCGAGTAACATACTCCTAGACATTCATATGAATGCCTGTCTGGGAGACTTTGGCATCGCAAGGTTCTACATTGATTCTAAACTAAGAACGGTCGGAGATTCAAGTTCAATTGCTGCAAACGGCACTCTGGGATATATGGCTCCAGGTATAGTTGTTTAGCATATAATTATTTTTTTAAAGAGCTTTGCATATAGTAATTATTTAGAGCAGATGTGGTTATTGATTGGTCTCTGTTTTTAGAGTATGCTGAAAGCGGTCATGCATCTACTTGTGGGGACGTATATAGTTTCGGAATAGTACTCTTGGAGATGCTGACAGGAAAAAGACCAACAGATCATATGTTCAGGAATGAACTCACCATTGTCAGATTTGTGGAAACGAATTTTCCTGATCACATATTCAATTTTCTGGATTCCTGTCTGCTAGATGAATGCAATGATGCCATCAACCAAGTAGCAGCAGGACTGGAAACTAGATCAGGCACTCGGTAACGGTACCCCTCAGTCAGTTGCTCTCCTATGTATCACCTTTCACGAGACCATAGAAAAAAATATACGTGATATTTTAGAAAATTGTTGTACAATATAAACAAAGATCATGTCATTAAAAATAATGTTTCAAATCATTAAAGAAAATGTATGGTACATTTTAAATAATGTTCTGCATGTAAAAAATATGTATAAGAAAACATTAAAATATTTATAAAAAATAAGAAAACATTATAAAATTTATACAAAATAAGAAAAGTAAAAATAAAAATATGCCGACGGCTTAGCTGCGGCCATAGGGAAGCTTGTACGCGGATCGGTGACGTGGTTAATAAAAAAGAAAAAAAAAGTATGCCTACGGCTAAGCCGTCGGCATAGGTGCCACGTGGCGCCCTGAGCTATGCCGACGGCTTAGCCGTCGGCATAGTTGACCTTATCCACTCGCGTTACCCCCCATCCACTCACTATCTCCCCACACCCGAGCTGCCGCCGCCGCACCCCCCGACCCCGACCTGCACCGCCGCCGCACCCCCCACCCCGACCTGCCGCCGCCGCCGCACCCCCCACCCCG